TTTGACATGTTTCTTTAATCAATTCTTACACGCTTAATTATCCTTATTTTGTGGAGTTTTAAGTTCATTTCCTAAACTTTGATAGGTTTTGAAGCTGATGGCTGTATCCATTTTTCATTGAAATAAAATTTGTATATGTTACAAATTATGCAAGAAACGGGGTACACTCATCTATTAAGATTGCAGCTTGTATTTTTAGTGAAATTGGACTTCACCATTCAATTCTACACATTTTTAAATGTAGGAAATGAATTTAAGATTTAAAAAAATGCTTCAAATCAGGCCGGTAAAAATCAATCAAACAAACATCAAAATAAACCTGTCCAACACCGTATTCAGTAGCAAGCGCCAATTTTTATGTAAAATGGTTGCTACCATCATTTTTATCATGTCTTAAAGTGTGGGAAATAAATTTAAATTGTCAAAAAATATTGAGAAATAACATGTAAAGAATTAATTGAAAAAAGTGTCTAGTTTCAGTATTAAAAATGAACCGTTGAGTTTTAAGAAAATTGGATTTTACCATTAAATTCTACACACTTTTAAATTTAGGAAGCAACTTTAAAACTTCAAAAAAGCATAATAAATAAGGTACACACATGTATGCAAACAATTAAGTGAAAAAGTGATGAATTAATTAAAAAACCGTGTCAAATGCAGCATTCAAGGTATAGTTTTCATTTTGGAGAAAAATGGTTGTTACCATCATTTTAACCATGTCTTAAAGTGTGGGAAATAAATTTAAAAAGTGAAAAAAGAATGAAAATTAAGCTGTAAAAATTTAAGTGAAAAAAGTGTCTAATTTCAGTATTCAAAGTGAACCATCAAGTTTTGAAAAATTTGGATTACGCCATTAAATTCTGCATGTTTTAAAGCCTAGGAAATAATTTTAAAACCTCAAAAAAACTTAAAAAATAAAGTACATACATGCATGCAAACAATTAATGGAAAAAATGAGTGGAAAAAAAAATTAAGAATCAAAAGTCATTTTATTGGAAAATGGTTTTTACCATTAAATTCTACACCTTTTAAAGTGTAGGAAACAACTTTAAAAAATCAAAAAAACTCAAAATTAATGCCCAAAATAAATTAATTAAAAAATGCGCGTTTAAACGCGGAATGCGCGTGTGCTGCGCGCAGCAAAAGCGCGTCAAAACGCGGAAAATGCGGGTTTTTTTATTAATGCCCAAATAAAACTAAAATTCCAAAAAATAATGAAAAACTCTTACTATGGCTCCCATTACGGCCAGTTCCTCTGCCTGTTAACACTAACTTTTAACCCCCCCCCAACTCTGAGTTAGCTCAAGATTGGTTGCCCCAGCCTCAAGATGCCATGTAAGCCTCATAGAAATTGCTATGAGCCTTGCATAATATTCTCATAACCTATTACTCACAATCCGTTTGACCCTTTTCTTTGACTATCCATTCACAACTCAGACTATGTATAGATACTAAACACAAGACCTGTAAGTATCCCAAGTCAGATATTCATTCATGTGCATACATGAGCACTCAGACCCACATGTCATTCTTGGTTTGCAGAGTCATACAAGATCATCAATGAACTGATATCAAATGCAAGCTAGAGGGAGACAAGTTGTATGGACACAGGTTGGACTCAAAATCAACAATTGAATGAGCAAGGGATAAATCCTGCGGCAAAAACAAGGCAGCAAGAGCAAGCAAATGGTTAGTTATGAGCTAAAAATACACAACTAGTGTTTGAAGATACTTCAGGGCAATAGTATATAAATTCAGAAGACCAAACAAAAAACATCAACAGATGGTCACACCCAGCCAACAGTTTTTGAAATTTTGTAAACTTAAGGTACAGTAGCCTTTATG